TCTCTCTCTCTCTCTCTCTCTCTCTCTCTCTCTCTCTCTCTCTCTCTCTCTCTCTCGCCTCTGGTTTTCTCAGCAAAGTATCAGATCCCAGATTCCCATATTCTTCCAGACTCCAGACTACATGTCTCAAGTTCTCCAAGTGTTTCCCTGAAAGCTCCTCTCACTTAGCTTGAGGTAAAGGGAAGCATCTCTTTTTAACCCATGGGAGGTGTGGCTAAGTATCAGGTATCTCTAAAGCAATACTCTTCAGGAGTCATCAGTCCCCCCGCCATGGGCTGGAGGTGAGTGATGAATAATGCCAAGCCACTATCTTTTAGCATATCTCGCATGGTAGACTAACGACTAACACTTGGTTCTAGGATGTAAGGGTACTTGGTACCTAATGTACTTGCAGGCCCACTCAAAACTGACAGCATCCTTTTTGAGTATCATATTACACATTTACTTATTTAACAACTATGTTTCAAGCACCTGTTATGTGCTAGACACTGGTCTAGGTAGTGAGGATACAACAGTGAACAAGACAAAGTTTCTGCTCTCACAGAATTTACAATTTAGTCGAGACAGACAATGACCACATTAAAAAAAAAAAGATAATTTCAGGTAGAGATGAATGCTATGAAGGAAATAAAACATACTAATGTGATTACTGCAGATGGAGAGGGAGGTGGACTACTTTAGGTTGGTTGACCTCTGAGGAGGTGATATCTGACTGGAGATTTGAGGAACACAAAAAATAGGGGTGGTCTGGCTGGTTAGCTCACTTGGTTAGAGCATGGTGCTGATAACAGCAAGGTTAAGCGTCCCTGTACTGGCCAGCTGCCAAAAAAAATTAAAAAAAAAAAAAAAAGATAAGGAAAAGACAAAGGCCCCAGGAGGGGAAAACCTTGCATTGGAGGAACAGAAGGGAGAGGCCAGTACGAATAGAGAGTGGTAGGAGGGGGGAGTGGTTCCAACGGGTAGAACCGAGGATTATACCAAGCCAGATCATGTAGGAAATTGTAGGCCATGGTGAGCAGTTTATATTTAAGTTAAAAAAA